CTTGTACATGTGCATACGTGGGTGTGTCCTCTACACAAACATCCTCATTGACTGCAAGTTCACAGTGGGCAGAACACAGGGCCAGGTGGTTAAGAGGAAATATCCGGCAGAGGTGAGATTTTCCCTCAAGGAATTTAGAGCCTCATGGTGGAAGTGGGACCCGTGCAAGTGAAAAATGATTGAGTAATACAAAAAAGATGAAAGTGGGTGAGTAAGGAGCCACAACACAGTGTCACTGAGCACGTGGAAGGAACACCAGCAGTGGAGGGCAGGGTCAAGTTGAGATAAGACCGCCCTGTGGAGGGGCAGCCCTGGTGGCATAGCGGTTTAGTGCTGCCTACAGCCCAGGGCGTGATCCTGGAGACCTGGGATCGGGTCCCATGTTGGGCTACGTGCATGGAGCCTGCTTCTCCTTCTGCCTGTATCTGCCTCTCTGTGTGTGTGTGTGTGTGTCTCTCATGAATGAATAAATAAAATATTAAAAAAAAAGACCGCCCTGTGGAAAAGCATCATGGGGGGGGAGGGCAGGGCTAGGGTTCTGAAGGTAGGCAGGGCCATCCAGCTCGGGGAATGGGAGAAATGGGGGAACAGGAGAAATGGGGGAATGGGAGAAATGGGGGAGCGGGAGAAATGGGGGAATGGGAGAAATGGTCTGCCCGGATCAGTGGGCCGAGGGGGAGCATGGTGGGCTCCACCATGGACTTAGACAGCAGGAGTTAGTGGGTGTCTGGCAGCACATGGTATATAGATTGGGGCCCAGGATGGGGTGTGAACCAGCACTGTGTGTGCGGGCACTTGTCGCACACGTCCCTTCAACTCATTCAGCTGGTTCCCCTACAAAGTAGTAGGAGCCTAGGTGCCAAATCCAAGGTGGCTGTGCGGAAGAAGATGCAGGGGTGAACCGTCACGAGCCACAGATGAGCCCCGAGGCCAGATTCTGGGCTTTGGGCATAGAAGGTGCAGGGGGGTGGGTATGAGAGCTGGGAGAGGTTGGAGGCAGATGTGCAAGTCCTGTTGCAGACCCAAGTTTGGGAGGGTGAGGTGTTGCCTTTGGGACAAATGTCAGTGGAACTGGGCCAGCTCTGGTCAGAGAGCTCTCTTAGCTTCACTGTTGTTCACTGTTTGGGATGTGGTCATGCTCCAACTATCTGAGTCTCTCCCTCCACTGGCTCCGTGAGCTCTAATTATCCACAGAGCTACACCAGGTGAGAGCATACATCCATGGGAGCGGGCACCTGGTCCACACGGCTCGCTTCTCTGCCCACAGCACCTACAACGCTGCCTTACACATGCTCGACATCATCCCAACGAATGCAGAGGGCATTTGTGAATCATGCCCAGCATGCTGTGGGGAAACCAGCAGGGAGAGGAGGGAGCTGTGTAAAGGCAGGAGGGGTGGGAAGGCAGGGCTTCATAAACTTGAAGCAAGGTGTCTCCAAATCCCCTTCTAGGGCCCTCGCTATGGTCCTGGCAGATCAGCGTCTGAGGGAGGGCTTCCACTCAGAAGTGTGTGGAGTTGGCTGGGCTAGGCAAGTCTGATCACTTGTTTGCTGCACTTGTCTCACAGGATTTGGGGATAGGTGGGGGGACTTGGGAAGCTGGGAGCAAGTTTGTTAAGTGTCAATCAATGGTAGACCAGCTAGTCCAATCCCTTATCTTGATGATGTAGAAATTGAGGCCTAGAGATGTGAAGTGGCTTGTCCAAGCCCACACAATGGCTATATCAAGGTATCCCATCTGCTGACCCCATATCTGTTGTCTTGAGGTCACAGAATAGCGAAAAACCTTGGAGAGGGTTTCAGTCCCTGGCACTGAGCAATGTTCCCCAGCCCCCATGGTCATACAAGTTCAACTAGAATAATGTCACACTTGCTTCTCATCCTAAACTGTCATTCACACCTAATCCTAGGGAGGAAAGGACCCAATAGGATGGGCTCAAGTCAACTGTCCTTCAGGGATGCCTTTCTACCTGGCTCTTGCATACTGGCTTTCCCTTTCAATCTTGAAATCTGTCCCTGTCTTCCTTGTCCAGGAAACACAAGTGGCTGGTTCTACCATATGTAGCCTAGGACTCCCCTGTCTTTCCAAGGATACCTTCCCATGGGGAGAAAACTAGACCAAAGTAAGGCCCAGGGCCTGTGTTCCTTGGCTCCAGGTCCTGGGCTCCTGAGGGCTGGCGCAGCCTGGGGCTCCCTGCATCCACAAGCACGGTGCAGGTGCTTCAGAGAGCGCCAGACCTTTGGAGTTCTAACGAAGTGCAAGGGCGGCTTCTGCTACTGCCATGGCCCCCCAGGTTCATCTAGGCACACATCTCCATGCCTCTGGTGGCCTCCTGTGCTGTTGCTCCCCTGAGTCCAGCCCACCGCTCCAACTTAGTCAGTTCTAAAGGGTGGTTTTTGTGTGTCGCCTCTCCCGTGGGCTATGTCTAACGGCACTTCACGGTACCTGCCCAGATCATGCCTCTGCTGGGCTTTCATGAAACTGCGCAAGCTTCCCCCTTTCTCCTTTCACGGCCTCATTGCCTCTCATGAGGGGTGCCCCTTCTCACTTTTAAAAAATTATCTTTGCATCTGTGGTTTCTCCAGCCCAGGGCTTCCTCTCTCTTTCACTGAAGAATTCAAATGTCCTGCTTCTCTGAGGCCCAGCCCAGGCCGCGCCTCTTCCATGTAGCCTCAGGGCCATCCAGACTTGTAGATCATCTAGGTCCAACCCCTCATTTTCTAGACGGGGAAACCGAGGCTCAGAGAGGATAGCTGATTTGCCCACACATCACATCACTAGCTGGAGACTGGCAGTACAGATCTCCTCACCCTGCAGTAAAATACCTTTGCACCCTTCCTGGCTAAAGAGGGTGTGTCTTCTTGGAGGGAAGGGGATCCTAGGAAGGTAGAGACAATCCCTAAATCTACTTAATCTCCAGTTGTCTTTAAAGCCAGAAACATGCAATTAAGTGCTTAATTATAAGCTGCTTTGCATTGTTATTTAAGTGTTTTCAAAGTAGACTGTAAGCCCCCTGAGGGCAGGGAACATTCCCTGTGCAGTGGAATCAGTGTCCTATCCTAAGCACTGGAAGGTGTCATATGGTGGAATTGGAACTCTGGCCCGGCCAGAGAGCTCACCTGGGAGGATAATTTTTCCACCTCCATTTCTGGCAGCAAGCAAAATGGCACAGAAGTCAAGAGACTGCCCAGATGTAAGCCCAGTTCCTAAGTTTTCACATAGATCAGAGGGGTATGTGTGTGTGTGTGCGCACGTGCATGTGTGTACGTGTGTGTGTGTTGAGGGGTGTGCATAACAAACTGTGGTTTGGGCAGAGACTGGGGGGACAATAAATGGGTGTCAGTCTAGATAGGTTTTGAGCCTCTTTGCTGCTGCCAGTGTCATGGGAGGGGCACACAAGCCACCGTGTTTTCTGGAGGACCAGCTAGGATCAAACCCGAGGACCGCAGCCATGGCAGGGCCAAGTGTCTGCGACATGCCCCTCCCTTCTTCCTTTGCCCCTTTCATGCTCCTCCTGGCTTCACAACCTACTGTTCTCTCCTTCCCCTGCCACCCCACCCTTCAGAAAACATTTGATTCTGCCGGGGTGGGGGTGGGGGTCTCTTTCAGGGGACAGCCTGAGCATTACCTCCCCTCCCCCAGGGTGTGGGCTTTGTGACCTTGATGTCTAACATGGGTCTCAGAGGCACTGCCTTACTCTGTGGGGGAACATGGTGGGCCTTACTCTGTGGGGGAACATGGTGGAACATGGTGGTTGCTAGTTCTCAGCTCCCAGAAAGTGCAGTGCCTGGATCGGTGGAAGGGAGCTCACGATGTCTTAGATGAGACGGATCCAGGGAACTGGAGAAATTCATCTTGGCTTGGGCAAGATACATTTTTCTTGTCTTTCTTTGTTTCCAGATTTGCAAGTGTGTCTCTGGGAAAGCAGTTTAAGCAGATTTACAGATTGGCAAGGTGCTGAGGGCACCTGGGGAGGGTTCACCAGTGGAAAGGTTGCACCAACTCTGCTTTCAGGGCAGCCCAGAGCCTTCTGTGATTGGTGGCTCCTGCTTAGCACACCTGAAGGCCTCCTTCGTTCAACCTCTGGGGCCTTGGGCAACAGCCTTGTAACAATACCTTCCCTGGCTTCCCAGTAGGTAGAAGTTGGTCAGGGTCACTGGGTGAGAGCAAATGGCTGATGACACTCACCCACCCACTCACCCTCCTGCCAGCCTGGGGGATGTGCTGTTTGTACTCTCGAGATGGCATCTGTACGTTCCACGTTATCTTCCCTTCCCCCCAAATGGGGAGATGATAGAGTGCACAGAGCATATTTTATTTCCCATTTTCCTGGAGAAAAATCCAAGGCTCAGAGGAGGGGCATGGCTCACACAGGGTCAGGTGAGTCGCCTGAGGCATTGCAGTGGCCAGATGTCCACAGGTCTTCCCGCTCCCCAGCTCTGGTGGCTACAGGGAGTGGATCCTCTCCAGGATACAGAAGGGCTGCTCAGAGAAGCTAGTGGAAGGCACATGGCTGGGGAAGTTTTTGCTGCGCCATTGAGGTAGTACTGGGCAGACAGAGCAATTAACGACCAATGAAGACAGACTGGCAGGGTGGCATTCCAGGGCCTTCTTGCCCAGATCAGACTCAATTATAGGGTACAATTACCTGCAGAAGTGCTGCAGGGTAGCTGCCTGCACATGCCATTCAAGGCTGAGTTGGGGAAATGCTTCTCTCACTGGCTCCAGTTATTTCCTTTGGGACCCGGCCTTATAGACCTACCCACCCAAGTAAAGCCACCATCTTGGTCTGTGGGACTTACATCTTGGGGGAGATTCCATCTGATGCCAACACCTTCTTTAGGACACTCATTCCAGTCTACTGCCAAGAAAGGCCACCCTTTGACTCTGGCCTCCAAGGCTCATGGGTAGGGGTCAAGGTCCCAACTTCCCCGTTCATGCACAAGCATCCACTTCCACCCCAGAATTCACACTGGCTTTGGCAGACGGGAAGGGCTTACCTCGAGTTTTGTTCTCTTTGGAGTGGAGAGAGATGTTCTTTCCTTCCTGAAGATAGACGAAGAACTGGTAGCGGTGGAAGCCAGTTTGTGCTGGCGGGGAGGGAGGCTGGTACGCTAGGGGCAGAAGAAGGACAGAGGGTAGGCCCCCAGTGCACAGTACCCAGGGGCTCCTGGCTGCCCTGGGCCAGAGGAAAAGAGAGTTCTCTGTGCCTTTCTTGGTCCCCCTCAACTCTCCTGGGGTCCCAGCTGGGAGCTTACCCATTGCTAACCTTTAGGATTTCTCTTTGACAGTATCTCAGCCTCAGTAGCTTCTTTTAGGAAGCACCTTATCTTGGGCAGTGCAGGGAGAACGAGGTGTGGGCTGGCTGAGGATTTTGGGTGTTGGTGGGACTCCCGGGCCTTTCTTGGCCAGTGGGTGTTGGTGTTATCCCTTTGCTGCTTTAGTGTATCCTGATGGATTTCCTGCCTCAAGAGAAACCCATCTTCCTCTGTGCGAGTGTTTGGCAGTGGATTTTTATTTATTTTTTCAGCATTTCCTTATGAACTCAATTCCCAAAGAAGCCAATTTCTTGGCTGGATCCGGAGGATCTGGAAGTGGTTATGGGGGTGGGTGGGACTCGGTTCAAAGGTTTGATCATGGAAGTGTAGGATCTGGGTGCTCGGGGCACTGGAGCCGAGGCATGAGGCTCTTCCGGAGGAGAAGGCCTATCAACCCTCCCTTTTGCCCTCAGTGCAGGAGATAGGTCTTTTTCTAGGGTAGAGGAGAAGTGGGCTGGGGCACCTCTCCTTCTTTCCCAAATCTATGCAGGGGTTTTGTGGGCCAGACTTTTGTGGTTGGTTCCAGTTGGGCCTCCTTCCAATCTGTGTGCCTCTGCCTCCTCCCCTTCACTCTTCTCATCTCCCCTTTTAAAGAGCCAGGAATCTTCCTGGGGGTGGGTGGGGATGGAGTGTTCACAGTGAGGATGCTGGTGGGAGGAAGTGTCGGTGCTTTATGGCCACCTCCCTCTCCCGGTCATTAGACAAGAACCACTCGCTATTTGGAGCCTTTGGAAGTGTTCCTCATGGTGCACTTCCGGCCACGGGGGCCTCCAGCATGTTCACGGCCAGGGGAATTCCTGCCTAGTCATCTCTCCCTGAGTTTCTGATTGCAGACTGATACAGGCGCACGTGTGTGCTCCGAGTCAGAATAGCACAAGGGGTGCCAGGAGCCATGTGAATTTGTATGACTTGGGGTCTATACTGGTGCAGGTGCAGGTGTTGCTAGAACTGGTGTGATGGTGTGTGGAGAAACAGAAGTGGCTGGGTCAGCTTTTGGCAAGGCTGGTGAATGCGTGGATTGTCAAGTGCACTTGAGGGTGGGCACACTCCATGCTGCCAAAGAGCTGGTGTCCGTGATTCTGTGTGCATGAGGCTGCAGTTGGAACTCACTGCTTCTATGCAGCTGGGAATTTGTCCTCAGGGGAGTGGAGACTGTACCCCTCTCACCAGGGCTTTCCTGAAGAATCATCCTCCCCAGAAGTAGAGATGAGGGGTCATGAGGAGGAAGGAAAGGGATACACACATGTTGAGCCACTTCTAGATGCCAGGCCCTGGCTACGTACCTTCCTCTGTGACATCTCCTTAATCCTCGCCATAACCTGGTAAGATGAGTGTTATCCCCATTTTCTGGATGAGGACGTGAGGCTCTGAGAGGTGAAATCAGGCCCATAGAAGTGGTGAAGCTGGGATTTGAACCCAGGCCTATCTGATGTCTGACCTCACATTGTGTTGTGGGACTATGGGGCTCATCTGTCTTTTTTGCTTGGTCCTTTTCAGAGGCCAGGTCCGCACCTGAGCATCCCCTTCAAGTTGAGTAGAGGGCATGGTCTTGCAGGGGGAGTCCGAGGGCGAATGGAACTGGGGATGAATAGGGATGGGAAGGGCGGGCATCGGGAGAAAAGGGAGGTCTCTGGAGCCTCATGCCAGTGCATCGTGGCACTGGGTGCAGGGGAACGCAGGGAGGCAGGCTAGGGAAGGGAATGACCCTGCCAATCCCTCCAGGAGAACAGTTACAGGGGCTCTCCCCGCAGACCTCTGCATTGAATGCTGGCCCCACCCCTTACTCCTTGTGAGCCGTGGGTCAGGTGGGTTTGTTCCTGGGTTTCGTTCTCTTTAAAATGGACATATTGGGATGCCTGGATGGCTCAGTGGTTGAGGGTCTGCCTTCGGCTCAGGGTGTGATCCTGGGGTCCTGGGATTGAGTCCCATGTCGGGTTCCCACAGGGAGCATGCTTCTCCCTCTGCCTATGTCTCTGCCTCTTTGTCTCTGTATCTCTCATGAATAAATAAATCTTTAAAAAATAAAATAAAATATAAAATAAAATATAAGATAAAATAAAATAAAATAAAATGGAGATGCTGGTGGAAGCAGCCTCCAAAGACCAATGTGACCATTAAATTAGCAGTTAGTATGAGTAAACTCCTAGGTTGTGTGCACTTTTGCACCGCCAAGTCTCAACATTAAGTTGCATTATTATGGTTCTTGTGGTCATCACCACTGCCCTGGCTGGGGCAAGGGATGTGGGAGGGTCGTACTCACGTGACAACTCCTGGCCCTGGAGCTTCCCTTTCTTTATATCAATGCCCTGAAATGAGAGACAGGCATAGGTGTTGGTTCCCCCTGGGGCAGCAGAAGGCCACACCACCAGCACATTTCAGTCCAAGTGGGTTTTGCTAACTTCTTTCTCTCCCCAAGGGAGTAAGATAGGAGAGTAGGAACATGTATGACTGCTCCTGGGACATGTTGCCATGGACTATGGGGTTTGAAATGGTGCCTCAGGGGGTCCAGGGAGAGAGGATAGACATGGCATTGCTGAGGGTGGCCTGGGAGGAAGAGATGGATGCCATGACCACTGGAGAGAGCGAGAGGACATTTTTGGAAGGGCCGCTCCATTCCTATCACCTGTGCCCCTAGACTGGGCATGGAATACAGGTCTCTGCCCATGGGGTCTGGTCAGATCTAAGGCAGGGGTTGACAATCCTCCCAGCCTTGCTAAGCCAACCCAGCCTCTCAGACTCTCTTTGGGGCCTTCAGAACATTAGGCTGATGGCTGCCTGAGTCCAGAAGGGCAGAGGCCACTGATTCTGAGGCAGCTTCTTCCCCAGCCTTGACTGGACTCAGCCCATAACCCCTGGGCAGATTGTTTGGCCTCAGTTTCCCTCTTCTTCCTTCCCTTCCCCTCTCCCCTCTGCTCCGCGTCTGTGGGATAATGAGGCGATCCTGGGGGCGGGTGCTAATTATTGTTTGTGCAGGACTGGGAGATGCTTAGATGAAAGGGACTGGAGCCGGGCCCCTGGGTCCGTGCCACAGCTCGGGGGCCCCTAGGTGTGGGGTTTTATGGCCTTAATGATGGTGATTAGCATGGCTTTTCATTGGTTCTGCCAACACCTAACAGTGCTCTGGCCACCTTTCCACCAAGCCCTCCTGGTGTAGCCTCTGCTACTTCCCCTCTCAGAGGTGCTCAGGATGAGGGTTTGGGAGTGGGGAGCTGTGAGATTTCCTCCCATTTCTCTGCAGAGACTCTCAGGGTCAGCTGGGGGACCCAACTCCTAGTTGGGTTTACCTGCTACACAGTCAAAGCCTCACCCCCCACCCCCTTCTTGAAGCCTCCTGATGTCTTCCCCTTTGTGCTGTAGCTTGTCTACCAACTGTTCTTACTTTGGGCCTCCTTGGATAGAACATCTCCTCCCCCAGGCTTGTCTCTGTCTAGGTTAGGAGACAGTTGGTTGGGACAATGGGTGGGAGACTGCAGAATGGGGCCCTCCACCCTGGGCCGCCTTCCCACTTGGTTTTCCTCACCCTGAGCAGGTGAGATCTCTGTCCTCCGGCACCCTTCCAGCAAGCCGCAACAACTCCCCGCCTTCCAGTCTTGTCTGCTTAGGAGCATCCAGGCCGACTTTAAATTTGGTCCCTGGAACAGCAGGGCTCATGCCAGTTCTGCCTTGGCCCACTTTCAGCAGTGTCAGGCCCTGTCTTACCCAGGGCTGGCATGGGGCCCGGCTGTGGCCAGCGGTTGAGAAGCCAGTGGGTACCAGGGCAGGGGAAAGGGGTTGGGGAATGGAGGCCTCTCTCCTTGATACCCATCTGGCTCAGGAGAGGATGTGAGGGCCCAGGCCCTAGCAGCCACTCTCCCAAAATAGCTGTCTGGCTCTCTGGCGGCTCTAGCATGATTGAGAGATGGGGGCTAAGCCCAGGGCGGCCCAGCCCAGCCTGCTCTGCGCTCCCAGCCACCCCCTCACTCCTCTCCAAGTCAACCCAGCCAGCGGTTTGTTTAAACAAAACAATAGCAACCTAAGCTGGCTGTTTCTTTTTAATTCCCCACAGGCTTGGGTCCCACCCAGAGTGATAAACAGGCCTCTCTCCTCTGAGTGAGGGCAGGGAGGGCTGAGGGTGGGGGCTGGGGCCCGTAAGGTCAGGGAGTTTGTGCAGAGCAATGTGGAAAGTCTGATCTGTAGCCTTGATCAGTGTGGAAAGGCTGTCCTTCCCCTCTTTCACTCCGGGGAGTCTTTTCTCATCAACTGGGGCCAGCTTGGCAAAGACGTACGCACACCCGCACACTTGTGGATTCATTGAGTAAAGCCAGCGGCCCTTCCTGCTCACCTTCTCTGGGGGAGCTGCCCTTGAGCTCAGCTGAGGCAACTGTTGGGGTAGCTGAGAGCAGAGGGCATTGATGGCTTTAGAGTTCTTGGGGTCTCTCTGGAGCTTGCCCTATGGACAGGTGCTGGTCCTTGGAAGGATGAGCAGGGAAGGAAGGCTCTAAGGGAGGATCAGGCTGTAGAGACTGCACCCCGCCCCCCCCCCCCAACCCTTTGCAGAGCCTGTGGTCTGTGTGACTGGTATTTACTCAAGCTGGGTTGAGGATTGGCTAAGTTTCCTTTGGCCATGAACCTCACTGGTCTCTCCTGCAGGGGGTTGGTGTGTGCTAAGCTTTCTACCATACAATTAATATGTGGTAGGGGTCTTAGGAAGCCATAGTCAAAGGGTGAGAATGTTGACTCTCCAAGGAGCTCAAACTGCTTGTCCAGAGCCACAGGGCTGTGAGTGGGAGAATCCCAGAACATTCCAGGAAGAAAGAGCCTTAGACCCTTTGACTTTTGAGACCCACTAGCTCAAGATCTCATGTCTTTTACCCATAGTGCCATCCTATGCTTTTTCTACAATGTCATGACAGTCCCGTCACTCCTCCAGGCAGCATGGTTTTTAAGAAGACTATTATTAAAACACAGATATTACTTGGGAGGCCTGGGGCCGCAGTGGAAGTGGTTACATGGTTCCCTACCCCCCACTCCCCAGCCTCCATATGAAATCATGAGCTCTCCTCAAGTGTCTCCATGGACTGGAGTACCTTATTTAACCTGAGATGACCTTAGAAAGCTGGAAATCTCTGGGGATGGATGAAATTCTGGAACCTTTCTGGCAAGGTGGGGGTACGGTGGGGTAAATCTTTGATTCTGAGCACTTCCTAGAAAGGGCCCTGAGGGTGGGCACTGAACCCAGCATTTGAGGGACAGATCCCACACCTATCAAGTCTGAGACAGTTTTGGAAAGAGAGCGTACAGCAGGGAAGGGGCTGCTGAAAGCTCCCCTACACCTTGGCCTCTTCACCTGGCGTCCACCTTCCTGGCCTTCCCCCCTCCCCTAGGTATCCTGCTCTTCTTTCAGATGGGCCCAGCCTAGACAAAACCGCCTTTCCCGTAGTATAGCTAAGACAGATTGACATTTTCAAAATGAGCTTGTTGAAATGCTAAGGTTAAAAAAAGGAAATAATTATAGAAATTATAAACAGTGTAGAAATTGGCAGGTTTCTGATCCCTAAGAACGCTGGAAAGCCCAGAATGGCTTTTTCAGGGTATCAGTGCAGGAACACCCGAGGTGTTAGGGCTGCGTGCTTGGGAGGATGTCCGCAGCCCTTCTAAGTGTCAGAGACTAGATGACCTCTTTTCCTTATCAGCATCCTCTGTCAAGGGGAGGGCAGGAGGAAGGGGTTGGAAGATTGTTCAGTAGGACTCTGAAACGCTTAGGATATGACTGGTCTCCTCTTTGAAAAAAAAATAGTCTCATCTTTCTCATAGAAGTTGGCCCTCAGTGTGTGTGGGCACGCATGTGTGCATGGGTGCGTGTGCATGGAGGCTCTGTGCATGACTGTCTGTCATTGGAAGAGGCACATGTTATTCTAGTTGCAAAGAAGAAGCTTACTCTGTGGACACTCTGGAGGAATTTCTGGCTTTATAGATATGAGATTTCCTTTCCAACTCTCTCATGCCTCAGAACCCATGGCTTCTCTGTCAAGTTAGTTTGGAAATGGCATGTGAGATGCTTCAGAGAAAAACCCGACTGAGAGTCACAGCGACCCTGTTCTTGGTCCAGGGCAGATACAGACTATCTTCCCAGACTTGCTCTGACCAAGTGGTCTCTGGTCAAGTAGAGAGCACGGTGCTGGAAGCTGGGGTCTGCTCCCCCTACTGTTATCTGACATTCATAATGAGCTTCCAGCATGTCTTCTCTAGAGCTCTAACCGATGGATCCATCTCACAGCAGCCCTTGCTTGGGAAGGTAGAGATCAGTCTCCCATTTCACTGGAAGCAACTCAGAGAAGCTATAGCCTCTCAAGAGCAGGGACAGCATCCTTCCCATCTTTGTAGCCCTTGAGATGCTTTGCACAGAGCAGGGGCAGGGGACGTTGCCAGTGCTCTGGCTCATTCCCTGGCCCTTGCTACCTCGCTGCTCTCCAACTCTACTTCCAATCTGCTTCCCCTGGTCCCAGAGTCACCTCTGGCCTCCAGAGCCTGCTTCACCACATGCACAGTAGAGCAGACGTGTTGGGGTATTAACATCCTCTGGCAACAGTTCCTAACCAATGGCTGATGGGAAATGGTGCACAAATACTCCAGCTTCTTGCCTCTTAGGGGGAATGATGGAGTAGCATATTTCATACTGCCTCCGGGTACCCACCGTGGAACTCGTTTGCTCCTAGCCTCCTGTCTCACCCAGTCCTTTACTGGTGCTTCCTCACGTCCCTTTGAAAATACACTACTTGCTTTAGACTCCTTGTCTCGGGCTCTGCTTTGGGGGAACCCAAGCTTAAATAGACAGTTGTGGAAGGAGTAGAGATGAATGAAGCCTTTGTCTGCGGTGTCATAGGTAGCTGGCCTCAGTGCCAAGACTAGAAGCCTCTACTCCTGACTCCCTGTCCCAGTGTCTTTTGATGGGACCACACTGCTACTGTCTGGACCTGGATCCTTCTGCCCTCCCAGGCAGGGTCCCAGAGATCCCCAACACATTAAGCCTTTACAGTACCACAAAGAGGCAAGCCAATTAGATGAAAGACATCTCCATTCTTTGTTTCTTGTCCATGGGGACAGCCAGAGAGTTACATTTCCTGAGGCTCCAGGGTCCTGGGACACCCCTTCCCCAGCCCGGAGAAGCCTCAGGTGAAGGCTTCTTGAAGCACGGGGGCCAGATTCGGGTTGTGCAGCCTGATGAGTAGGGAAAGGCTCAGCGCTGGGCCCAGCAGGGAAGCCAGCACAGTGTCCTCATTCCCCTTCAATTACCTACAGGCAACTGTCCGCCCACCTGGGCCTTCGT